TACAGCTACCGTCCTTTCCTCTCTATTCCATGCCTCAAACATCTCCCTGTACGTTCCATCTATGTTTCCCAGCTCAGGCACGTACACTTCCCTCTCCTTCTTGTACAACGGATATTCCGCGACTACATGAACACGGTCTTCGCATTCGAAGCCGCAATCACATTTGAACTCGTCGTCTTCCTCGTCTACCGTCCTATGTCTTCGTCGACGTTCTCGAAGGCCTATGTCCCNTCCTTAGATTATGTTCTTCTCTCTCGGCACAAGCAACAGATATCTTCTCCTTGAACCCCTGTAGACCGTCCGTTTCCAGCGTTTCATCTTCGTCGATGTCGAGCCCCTTCCATACGTCCTCTACAACCTTGACCCATTCCGTGGGTTGTCTACCCCTCTTTTTGTTTGCCCACTTCGCTTCCCATACAATTCTCGGCAACCTCTCCTCTCCCATCCCGCACATGCGATACTGCAATGTCAGCTTCCTCGCGTCTCTTCCCGACCGTGGGGATCGGATCCCCAATTCTGCCCTGACGGCTGCATTACTTGTGCGCTTGGAGCATCCTAGGATGATTTTCGCTGCTTGCATCTGCGCCGCCTCGAGTTCTTTCACTACCTTCTTATTTCCTTCCCATACTTCTCCGGCGTACTCTAGCGGCGGTATGATTACGCTCTTCAAACCGGGTGGGGGGGGGTAGTCATTGTCGTACATGCCGTAGTCGTTGGACCATTGACCTCGCATTCCTACAAAGCCAGGACGGAGCACGCCGGACCAGACTCTCACATCACCAATCGCGAAGCACCGTGAGGTATTCGGCGAGTCGCAGGAAGGGTGCGCTGCATCCTGGTAAAGGTGGTCGGCATCTTGTGCTTACTTCCTTGCGTACGAATGACAGCTGCGTATGACTTGACATATTTTCTGGTGCTTCTACTTCCAGAGACAGTTGTAAGCACTGTGTAACTGCCTTAAGGGTGCTTGACCAATTGAAAACAACATGGTCCGACTATCCCCTTTGCGCGGAGTGAGGGTTCTCGACCCCGCACAACAGCATCAACGCCACCACCATTATGGTTACCGCCAAAGAAAAAAAACAGAGGTTAAGAACAAAGCGGTAACCTGGTTGCCGAGCTCACGAAGTGATCGGCTTGTTAAACACCGCTGCCAAACGACGAGAACCCAACCCCGATGGCAAACACCGATGGCAACCCCGAGGGGGGGGGGGGGCGGGGGGGGGGGGGGGGAAAA